GGGGGGGGGGGGGGGCGCTGGGGTACCGCACCCCGTACAAAAAGCACTCCCCCCACGAAACTGCCTGGTCCGGGTGCCAGACAGGACACCGGCGGCGACGCGCTTGGCCCAACGCAGCGCGGCCCCTGAGGCGCTGAACGATGCCCCTGCACCACGCCTCCCGCTCCTACAGGCAGATTCTGCGTGCTGAGAATGCGCACCACGACTTCTTTGATGTCTGGTCAGCCAAGCTGCGGGACCTGAAAGAGTTTGGTATTGGACATCTGCTCTACTTCCATTTCCTTCAGGTATGACTCAGCCCCGCCTGGGAGGATATGAGTGCCTCTTGTGCCTCCAGGTGTGAGTGGTGCAACTGCTGAAAGAGGGCACGCTGCAGCGGCGGCAGAGTGCGCCAATGCAAGATGAGGAATGCACAGTGTTTGTGGTAGAAAAACACCTGGCAGGAAAGCGGAACAACACCTGCACTTGGCCCCGCCTCGCTGCTGCGTGCAGTGGATGTCGGTGCTCTTTGTGGTGTTGTTTTTGCTGGTGGGGGTCCCCCAGATGCTCATCAACACCCAGGGCAAGTGAGTTGAAACGAGTTCCTGGCTGTCGTGCAAGAACCGCGAGCGCAACGCGAGGACAGGCGCTCCTTGAGACCGAGGTCTGACCGCTCAGAGCCACCGCGGCTGCTCTTCAGGCACCTGCCAGGCGCCTACACGCTCGCTCCTCGGAGGAAATCGGCCGAAGTTGTGGGCGCAAGAAGGCCGGATCCACCAAACTTCCCCCTGGCAGGTATTATGCTTCCGAGGATGGCGGCCTGAAGCTGACGACGCTGGGCAACTTTGGGCGCGTCTCGATCGCACACAACCATGACGGCGCAGCGGACGTCAGGGTGGCGGACGCGCTGTTCCTGCGGGAGCGCAACGTGAGCGAGGGGGGGGGGGTCTGCCTGGCGGGCTTGGGGTAGACTGCAGGGACTGTGTTGGGTGATTAGTGATCCTGTAGTCATGCAGCTTACCACAGTGGAGCTTGAGGGCGCCGCAATCGAGTGAAGACGCGCAGTCTATGTACCCACGCATGTTTAGATATTGATGCATCGCATTGCGCCCACCCTTGATCGCACCCGCGTGATCTAGCCATCCCGCGTCCGAATTACCCAGAGCATAAATGCAGCCCATTCAACGCGCGTGCGCGTCATGTAATACCATGAGAACACTGCAATACTCAAGTTTACATGATTCCCGGCCCGGCCTCGCTTGGGTGCCACGTGCACGCCGCCGCAGGTCACGCTGGCATTCCTGTCCGACGCCGGCCGGCGCGCCGCGGAGCACCCCTTCAACAAGGGCCACGCAATCGTGGCCATGTCCATCCTAGATACTGCCGGCGCCGTGGTCTTCTTCCTGGTCACCCTGATACTTATCCTTGTCAGCCGCAGGCTGTGCGCCGAGGCAAGCATCACAGTTTAGGTTGTGTTGCCACGCACCCGCCAACCACACAGGGCGAGCCACGTCTGCAATCTTCCATGCACATGATACCGCCTAGCGTCACTTGCGCGTCACCCGCGCCGCCGCCCGCCGTCATCCGCGCGCGGCCAGGCGGACACCAGCACGGTGACTATCCACGACTACTCAATCAGGGTGGAGCGGCTGCCGCAGGACGCGGGCGCAGAGGAGCTCATAGAATTTTTCGGGCAGTACGGGGAGGTGCGCATGATGAGACGCTTCTACCCGATGTATGCCTGGCGCATTTGTGCGGATGTATCCTCGACAAGGGGCCCCGTGCGCGTTTGGCAGCTGCTCTTCTCCAGTGGCGATGGGGGCCATGGTGCTGGGAGCAGCAGCATATCACCCGCATGACCGGGTCTGCGTTTGCGTGCACCAAGCACAAGCACCGCCCCGTTGAGCACACCGCGTCGACCCACACGCTGCCCCTGTTGCGCGCGCCTCTCATCTCCGCGGCCGCGCCGCACCACCCTCCAGGTGATCCATGTGGAGCTGGTGCGCGCGTATGGGGCGTTGCTGGGCCTGGTGATGCGGCGCGGGCAGCTGCTGCGCGGCCTCAAGGTGGGACGCGAAGGCAAAGAGGGCTGCAGGGTGGGCC